AGCCTGACTGGGGGGCTCGATTCCAGTCCTCCAGGATCATGACCTGAGCCAAAGGCAAACATTTAACCGATTGGGCCACCCATGTGCCCTGAGAATTTAATTTTTAAAAATGTGTATGAAAAGTTCTTAGGGGGGACTTGAGTAGCTCAGACATTAAGTGTCTGCCTTTGGCTCAGGTCATGATCCCAGGGTCCTGGGGTCAAGCCTCGCATTGGGCTCCCATTCCCCCTGCTTGTGTTCCCTCTCTGGATGTCTCTCTCTCTATCAAATAAATAAAATCTTTAAAAACAACAACAATAACAACAACAACAAAAATGAAAAGTTCTTAGTAAAAAGCCACGCACGTGCTGTTTCCAATTAATGGTACAGTGCTTACCAGGAATATATATATACCTCTTTAAATATTAGATGAAACCTTCAGAAATCAGTCATTCTCCTAACCCCTTTCCACCCTCTGTAAAAATCAGAATTTCAAAATCACATCACCTTCCACTGTATTTGTCCATTTTAAACCCAAGTTCCTTTTTAAATTTTTTGAAGATTTTATGTATTTATTTCACAGAGAGAGACACAGCGAGAGAGGGAACACAAGAAGGAGGGAGTGGGAGAGGAAGAAGCAGGCTTCCTGCTGAGCAGGGAGCCCGATGCAGGGCTTGATCCCAGGACCCTGGGATCATGACCTGAGACAAAGGCAGATGCTTAACCACTGAGCCACCCAGTTTCCCTAGCCAAGTTCCTTTTTTATAGGATGGAAGTCCTCCACTTCCTCCCATTGGATCTTTCCCAAGTGAGAAAAAAATTAAATTCTCAATTCTCCTCAGGGAGAAAGTTTAGGTTTAGGTCAATGGCTATGAACTAAATAGACCCAGTTTCCAACATCTTTGCTGGAAGCAGGGAGACCTTGAACCCGTTATTCAGTCTCTCTAAAGCTGTACTCTTTCTTTTCAGATGGGATGACATTGCATCCAACTATAGTAAAGCATTTTGTATAGTGCCCGGCGTATAGCAAGCCCTCTATAAATGTTGCCTAATATTACTGTTTTATTCAAGACTAATCTCTTAGGACACAGAGTATCCACCTTGATTTTAGGACCACCCATTTTGATTCAAGATTTATATCACTGTATCTGGAAACAGAGTAGTGACCATATCCGTTCAGTTTACAACATGGCTCCAATTACTTTGTTGAATAAGCCCTAACATGAAGAAGGCCGGACAATGGAAATTTTGATTTCTGATCTGCCATACTCACTTGGAGCACCCTTGGCTTGGAAGCTTGTTAGAGTCTCAGAAAGAAAAAGAATTTATTAAATCAAATATTGTACACAGATGAAACAACATATCACTTGCTAATTACAGGAGTGACTAGCACTGATGCAGGCATCTCTTTTATTCCCTTCGGCTTATGGCCCAATTAACAATTAGCAGTGACTAATGTCCTAAAAGGAAGCTTTCTGTCTGCACTGCTGGGTTTTCTCAGGAGGAGTTAGAAATAAGATACTTGACAGAGTTTAGTCAGGGGAAAAAAATTAAAACTACAAGAAAGCACCTGTATTACTTGTCAATAAAATGTATTTGCAAAAACCCTACACAACACAAACACAGGCACTGCCCTTATTTATTAAAAAAAAAATACTTTCCCTAATTTTAGAAAGTTACAAAACACAATAAAAACTACTTTGTTTTCCATGCTGAAAGTCCTTAAACACTTATTTCACTAGTTAATATTTATAAGTAAAAAATAATCACTCTTTCAGAGCGAAGGTCTCTTAGAGAAAAGATTTCAAGCCAAGGAGTTAAACCCCATTGAATGTTTCCCCAACGCAGAGAAATTTTCCCTTTCTTCACTGGGTACCTGTCATGAAATGCAGGGGTAGGTCTTCTAAATTCATTGTCTCTTTGAGAGTAAGCCATGCTTAGGATCAGGTGCCATGGTGACCATCCCCTCAAACAAGGAAATACAATAATTTTGAGGTAATGACAGAAAAATTAAATATGCTTTGCTGGAAAAACATGAATCTGTATCCAGACCTGATCTCTGGTTTTGCTACAGATTGATGGATAGCCCCAAGTGTCCTCAATTATGTCATTCAAACTGCCTCTCAGAAAAGTCTGTTTTTTATACTGCTTCATGTAATATTCCTCTGTCATGAGTACCTGCATTTTTGCCTAAATAATTATAGCTGTTAATGATCAAGCTCTTACTATAAACAAGCACTAAGCTGAGAATTTTCCAAATATTACCTAATTTAATCCTTAATGATGAGGTAGATTAAATAACTACCTTATTTTATCAATGGGTAAATTTCAGCTTGGGGAAGATAACTAGGTTGCCCAGAGTCCCACAGCTAAAATTGGCCTTCACCCTCAAAGCCTGAGCACTGAACTAACTATGTTGATTTAAAAATCTAAATGATCTGAGTGGCAGACATCTGAGGAGGCGAGGAAGTGTTCTAGGAGCTTCCCTATAGGCTGAAACCAACGATGTAGGCCGAAGACCTGAGCAATAGTAGTCACCTCTTCTACCCAGGCATGGTAATTTTATTACTGAATTCAAGCGGCAATTCTAGCCCTACTTCCCATGACCCTTTAACTTTTTCTCAGAAGAGAAGCATAGAAGTATCTGGCCTTCCCGAGAGAGAAAACCATGAGGGAAGCACAATAGAGTGGCCAGAATGCCATCCACACTGTCATAGCAGACTCTCTCCTGCAGCCAAGGTTTCTCTTTTAGCAGGTGATGAAAGACAGGGGAGGTCCCATAGCATCCCATCAGGTTTGGGTGGGGTGTGTGCAAATATTTACCACATTCCAAACACCAGCAAACTTGTGGGAAACCTTTAGGGTAGAAAGCTGCTGTATAGGATAAAGAAAAGGAAATGCTCCTTTACCCAATTTCAGAATTTACTAAAATCTAAGTCCACTAAGGCTAACAATAAGAACAGGTTTGAGAAAGTAAACAAACACTGGGGGGCAAGGGGCGGGGATAGGATTCTGTGGGTTGTGTGTTTGCTTCTCCAAGGTTGAAGATAGAAGGGCAAATTCTGTCCCTGGTGGAGAAGTTGTGATGCCCCGTAGACCAGGTGCTGGGCCCAGGAGAGCACCCTCATGGGATTCCGACCTCTCCCTGAGCTGCGAAGGGGAACAAGAAGCAGATCTTTCTTAACACTCAAAAGGGAACTTTCTCTGCTGCACTGCATGGTGCCTGTTGGAAAAACTCATGATGTGAAACCCATACCCAAGAGCACTCTTGGGGTATTGATCATACCCTCAACCAATCCCCAGAGTAGGCTGTCGCCAGTGGGATGAAGACCAGGTCATACTACATTTGGAAACCACCCTGGATGACTGAGGAAAGAGGCCATTTCCACCATGAGCTCGCCAAGTCTACCAGCTACCAGGACCACAAGGGCCCTCAATATGTCATACTTTGCAGGAAGGAACTCCAGAGCCACTTTCCTGACACAGTCAGCCAGAGCCAGACAGGATCTAGATGAACAGAGGGCTTTGGGGCTAACAACTTTATGATGTTTTCTACCAATAAAAGGGGCAATTCCCATCTATTCACTAAATCCCACTCTCAAATGGCAGCAACATCTCAGAGAAAACAGAAGAATTAGATGAAGTCCACTAATCTTTAGACTTTGCTGGCTACTCTGGGAAGGGACTTTCATAGTTTGGATCTCTGTTATGTGGAGAATCTAGCAAGGAACCCAGCCGAATCTTAAGAATCAGCTTTGCATATGGCTTTGGAAAGGTGATTTCTGATGCTTCTACTCTGTCTCTGTATTTTCATCTACGGTTTGAAGATAATGACTCACTGACTCCCTCTCATGGGGCATCAAAGTTTTTCTGTTGCTTTGACTGCTTGTTTGTTTGAACAATAATAAAGGGGAAAAAAACAACAACCCAAACCCAGAGATGCCTGGCTTTTATACATACTTCTATCTCTTTGGGTTGATTACTATTACTTGGTAACATATAACCTAAAATATTTAGGTAACCTAGAAGCAGTCTTATATTTCAGATTCAGAAGCCAAAAAAAAAAAAAAAAAGTCACTGTGGCCCCAACATTAATAGATAATCCACCATGTATTGTAATAACTAAGACCAAAAAAAAAAAATGGAGAAAAGTTTAAAAGAATAGAAAAAGGATAAATCCGAAACATAAAAAACACAACTGTTGAATGGATAAAATTTAAAATGAACAGATTATCCCCCCGTCCTTCAGACCACGTCAGATGCGCACACAGGAACACATGCAATTCCTAGGTAAGTTCTGTAACACACACAAAGTGATGTGGGACATCCAGGAGGAAGCAGATCACTTCATTGCTTCTGAGTAAGGGGATCAAGGCAGGTCTAGAGAGCCGGGTGCATCAGAAAGCATCCTTTAAAGATGTATATGATTAAATCATTTGGGGATGGTTAGAGATGTCAAATATACCAATGATCAAGGATAGTATGCTTATGTTTATTATAGATCAGCCATTTCGCACAACAAATAAATATGTGCTCATCTACAGGTGGCCAGCAGAGAGAAGAGGGAGGGAGGGCAAGAAGGGAGGAAAGATAAAGTCATCTAGAAAGCTGGTGAGCTAGACCATCTGGACTGTGAGGCTCAAGGTCAAGTCTGGGGGTGATGAGGATGGAAAATTAAATTGGGAAATAGTTTCAAACCCTAGGGCACAGTATCACAGCCTACAACTACATGTCTAATAAATACTTGTTGCTCATGTCATCGTTATTAAAGACTGTGTATGGCTATTTAGTTTTTAAAATAAATATTCCAATTATAAAATAAGACTATAAGCCCGTGGTTCACAGATTAATCCTCTAGTACATATCATTTATTATTGCTACTGATTAAATATAGCCATGTTGTGGCAAATTTTACCTTTCCCCAGAAGTATAATTCTCACATAGTATACATCAAAATGAAAACTGAATGCATTCTCTCTGGATAGAGTACAGCCAGCTTGTGAAAGCTGCAACTCACCACGGACCTTGGGCAAGGCGTCTTTATTTGTAAACACAGAGGACTGGGCCAGGCGATTTCCTAGGCCCTTTCCAGTTCTAACTCGATTATAAGCTGCACATGCAGATGGTCAAGGTGAATTACTTGACCAATCATGCTTTTATCTCAATGAATTTCATGGATCACACACTCTTGGGAATTTTAGCAATAATCCCTGTGATGATTAACATTTATCACTTTCAGGGAATTCATCTGCAGAGTACACCAACCAAGAATGTAGCAGAGCCTACAAATTTGTTCCAAGTCATTCTCCAGAAAAATCCCCCTTCCTCTAATAGATACATGTCTAATAGCTTCTGAAAAATAAACTCAGTAGCTCTCTTCGAAACTTGGAAAATCCTTCTTCCACAGTAATAGGAAAATGGACTCTTGAAATACATGGAGACAATCCTGTGGAAGATGAAATTATTTTCTTTGGAGCAATGGACTGTGGGACCTGTGGTGTTGCCTGCTGGGTCTGTGCTCCGCTGACCATCGGGACCCACCTGCTGCGGCCTCCTCCTCACTCTCCTCTCCAGATTCAAACTCTTCATCTACTGCGTGGAAGAGTGGTTTGGGCCGTAGTGCCTCCCTTCTGCCTGCGCCAACATGCTCTTCTTGCCTTGTGTTTCTTGGATACCCAAAGTGGCATGGCTTCCCTCCTCTGGGTAAACTCTTCATTGGGATTATCTCTTGTGTCAGCCATCTTTCTTGAAATGTCCCTGTTCGAGGGTGTGGTTTGAACACGATGGATGGGAGTTCTGAATCGCTGCTGTCATCACCTAGGAAAATATGACAAGAGGAGGAAAGAACACGACTGAAGGTCAGAGAGGACGCTGTATCGGGATGGCAAGAATTCAGAGTGAAACAGAGTCCTTGAGGTTCCAGTTCTCACGGTCACCAGTTTGACTTTCCCTGCACCAGTGAAGGCACAGAATAGAAGCATATGTGCTGGGTTATAAACAGAAATGCACTGAAACCTGTGTATCAGGCTGGACTCCTTTAGGTAAGTAAGGGAGTGTTTTTTGTTTTGTTTTGTTTTGTTTTTACAAATCAGATCAACTGGCCATAGGCATTAGGCCATAAGGCACAAAGATGCTTTGTGTTGTCAGAGACCAATGTTTAACTGAAGGTTTCATGGTAACTGTGATAGGAACATGGTTGGTTTGGATTTTTTGTTGTTTGTTTTTGTTTTTTCAGATTTTATTTATTTATTTGAGAGAGAGCATGAGCAGTGGGGGGGGGAAGGCAGAGGGAGAGTGACAAGCAGACGCCCTGCTGAGCAGGAAGCCTGATCCCAGGGTTCTGGGATCATGACCTGAGTGGAAGGCAGACACTGAGTGGAAGGCAGCCCCAGCTGGTTTGCTTTTGAATCGGTGGTTACCAGAAAGCATTAAATCTGAGTTTCATCCCTTTGACCTTGAAAGAGCCAGTCTTGGAGAAATGGGTGGGAGAGAGCCACAGCAGATAGCCTTGTGTGGCAAAGCCACAATGACTAGATGTCCTTCCTTCCTTCAAAGGAAGTCAGAGGTGAACAGATTACCTCTGGCACATAACAGCCCATGATAATAGTGGATATGTCCTTGTAGGGAGAACTCACTATGCACCCATCACTGTGCTAACTGTTTTACATCTACAATGCCATTTAACCCTTATGACAAGCCTTGCAGATGAGTATAGTTAGCATCCCCATTTCACAGGTAAAGAGGCTGAGGTTTCAAGAGGTTAAGTGAATTCCAGTATCACACAGTGAAGATGGGTCTGCAGTTTAGCGGAGTCTGTCCAGCTGCACATCTGCTCTCTGCCACACTGAGCCTCACTCCCTGATATGTGCCATGTGCAGGTCAGAGGCTACGCCAAGGGCAGAAGGAAGCCACTGGGTATCTACGTAACATCCCCTCTCGGATGACCTTCCAAAGACCTCATCCATGCCTAGGACATTGTGTTTTCCCTACTTACTGTGCACACATCTTCAAGGGAATATTTTTCACAAATCTCATCTATTCTCATTTCCTTAAGTTTTAACCTTATAAATTTATTTTCCCTTTAAATAGTCTCCTGAGATTTTAAGCATTTTAAGAACTTCATATTTAAATCTGAAAGCAGAGTTCTTTCTCCCACTCTTTATTCCCTCTTTAAAAAAAAACAAACACAAAGCAAAATAAAAACCCCACAGCTAGAACAGATATGCACACCGGTATACAGAAGACAAAATGTGTTGAGCCATCAGAAAAATTTAAAATAACCTGTTCATTAATGTTTTTCTAAATGTGATCAAATTATCCTCAGAACGTAGCCTGGAAGTTGAGGGGAGTGGGGACAGGAATCAATTGTTTGAATTTAAAAAATTTAGTTCAGAATATTTGTCCATTTTTTTTCATTACTTCCCTTTAATTTGTGCTCCATGACCTGGCCTGGAACAAAAGTTCCTCTTGATCCTTTGGTACTTGGAATATTATCTAAGAAAACAATGGCCTGGGTGCTTCTGCCCCCAAGAGCGGTCTTTTGTCCCTCCCCTCTGCCCCCTCCTGGTTTCCTACCCCTCCTTCTAAGTGTATGTTCAGCATCAGCACACAGATTATAGCTGATGTTTCCTGACCACCTCTGCTTATTGGAAAATAGGTTCCAAACCCTAGGAAGAGGCTTGAACAGACAACTTAAAAGGTTCCATGCAGCTTAAGTCAGTAGATGTGTCCAAAAGGGGAGGAAGAAGCCAGGGGAAAGGGGAAGAGGAAGGAGGAAGATTGGGGGCTGGGCTCTGTCCCAATTGCAAAACCTCCTGCCGGCAACACTCAGGCCGGCAGTTCCAGGGAGAAATCAATGGAGACCTTGCAGCAGAATCTGAACATCTATTCTTCTATCCTCCACTTTAACTTCTGGACTTTGGCACCCAGGGGCAGGGTGAAGGAGAAACAGGAAGTGCTTCTGCACAGGGCAAGACAGAGCCTGACACCCGGGGGTGACCATGGATTATCTCATACAAAATTTGCTGTTGAGAGACCTGACCTTGGGTGCAACCCTCCCTGCTCCCTTTCCTCATGGTTTTGTTTTAGTTCTGGTAAAACATACCATTTTAACCTTTTTTTTTTTCATTGTCACCATTTTATTGTATAGTCCTGTGGCATTAAGTACATTTACATTGCTGTGTGTCCATCTCCAGAACTCTTTCGTCTTCCCCAATCCACATGGATTGTCAGCCATCTCAGAGCAGGAGAGGTAGGTGTCCAGGAAGGAGTTCTCTACATATAACACCAAGTGAGCCTTGGCTTTTTACAGAAGAGCCTTGGAAAAGTATGTGGAGCCCCCACACATCTAGACTAAGGGATATTCCAATACTGGAGAGCAAGGGTACAGAGAGAAAGGAGAATGTTCCCCAAGTCACAGCCTGGTTACCCAGAGACTGTTGGCTGGATGCCATCTCTCCCTCCATATTCTCCCCTAGAAGCCCTCTGGCCACTCCTTGTTTTGTCCTGGTGCAGAAAGACTTCAAGTTTGGAGAGTATGTGAATTCAAATAATTGTGCCCAGAGACACACTGAGAATTATTTCAGTCTAACTCTGATTATTTTAATGCTTTAAAACTTATTTAAGGATAGCTGATAAATTAAGTCCCACTTGGAAAGAATATATGCACCTCTATGTTCACTGCAACATTATTTACAACAGCCAAACTATGGAAGCAGCTCATGTGCCCATTGATTGATGAATGGATAAAGAAAATGTGGTATATACATACAGTGGAATATTATTTAACCTTCAAAAAGAATGAAATCTTGCTATTTGCAATGACATGAAAGAATCCAGAGAGTATTATGCTAAGTGAAATAAGTCAGCCAGAGAAAAACAAATACTATATGATTTCACTCACATGTGGAATTTAAGAATCAAAACAAATGAGCAAAGGGAAAAAAGAGAGAGACATAAACCGAGAAACGGACTCTTAGCTATAGAGAGCAAACATAGTTACCAGAAGAGAGGTGGGTGGGCGATGGGTGAAATAGATAAAGGGGTTAAGAGTACAGTTATCTTGATGAGCACTGAGTAAGGGACAGAATTGTTGCATCACTATATCATACACTTGAAACTAATATAACACGGTATCTTAACTATACTGGAATTAAAATTAAAAACTTGATAAAAATTTAAAAATAGGTCCCACTTCATTACTTTCCTGTCTCAGATTTCTAGGTTAACCACGATTTTTTGCTCATCTAATAAAAATTTTGAGCCAGTTGTGCACAGTTGGAAGAAAAATACTGCATTGGACCAAGATTTCATTTTAGTCCCAGAAGAATTCATGTTCAACTGGCAATTCTGAAGTGTCTTTCTTTGCAAGAACACCTCTAGCTACCCACATCAAGTCTTTTTTGATGTTCTTCAGTAGTACTAATTATAATGGGTAATATCTCTTTCTCATTTACTTGATTCTAGGCACTGTTCTGGGAGCTTTGTATGCGTTGACTGGTTTCATCTCAGGACAACACTGGTCTATGTAGAAGGTATCAATATTCTCCTCTTTACAGAGAGAACGAAGAAGTAGGCTTTTGTGTTTTCTTCATATAAGTCCTAAGTATATTATTATTTTTATGGAAAATATGAGTAAGATGCCTTTTAGGACATCTGTTCAAAGAATAGGATCCTTTGACCTATTCATCTGGTGAATAATGTAGACGCATTTCCAAATGTTAAACAACCCCCACTTCTGGAATAAATCCCACTTTGTAAAGTATAGTATTTCTTTAACATTCTACTGTATCTTGTTAATAATGCTTTATTGAGGAATTCACATTTTGCTCAAGTGAGATTGCTATGTGGTGGTCTCCTGCTACAGGAGCATGTGACATTGATGTTCATCACAAGAAATGACCATGAGAATTTCATGTTTTTTATGCATTCCAACAATATAAATAGCACCAGATTATTTGTACCAGGAAGAGTGTTAGAAATTAATTCACTGTACACCCTACAATGGTGCTCTTTTGTTTTGTTTACTTTTGTTTGTGGACTAGCTCTTTTATAACATAAAATGACACTGCTTTCCAGAGGGTGCTCTGGGAATAGATGTCTAGATCAATGAAACAGAACGAAGAGCCCAGAACTCTCTTAGGATATGTGACTTTAGCACAGCAAAGGTGGCATCTCATCTTGGAGGAAAAGATGGGGTTGGGGCAGGTGCACAGCCATTGGAAAACAATTTGAAGGGTGTCTCTGTCTTAATCTACACAAAGATATATCTCAAAGGCTTGAAACTTAAATGGAATTGTTAAACTATTAAAGTTTAAAAACATTGAGTAAATCGTTTTTTTAATTTTTCTGTGGAAGATGGAGCAGATTTGATTGGTTGGAATAAAATTTTCTGAATCGTGAATATATCTAAAAACTAACAGATAAATGTGAAACCAGAAGAGAAACCATGGGCAACAAACATGAGACAATAGATGAAATCCTTGTTAAACAGTGTTCTTCCAATTCATTTTAACAAAACAAACAATGGAAAAGAAAAAAAAAAATTGCCAGAGGCAGAAACAGAAACTTCCCAAGAAGAAATACCATTGCTTCCAAAAATATGAAAAGATCTGACCTTACTAAAAATGAAACAGACTCAGACAAAAATTAATATAGTATATAAATTTTACCCTATCGCATCATAGTTTACTCGGAAGTCTGAGTGATGGTGAAATGATTGGCAATGACCCTTCTCATAGACTGTTGGTGTGAGGGTAAACTTAAATACGTGCAGTTTTGACCCCCAAATTTTGCTTCCAAGAAAACATACTAAGGCAATAATTGGTTATTTGTGCAAAAAAAATCACAAGTGATTTGAAGAGCTTATTATATATCATTGCTCATATTACATATAAAAACAAAATACCTTAGTATTTATTAATATGGATTTGGCTGACTAAGCTAGGATTATTTTATATAATTGACTATTATTTACTCATAAAAATGATTATTTAGTTCATATCAATTGAATGGAAATATGTCTATAGTAGATGGTTGAGTATACTAGACAATTTATAAAAATTCCAAAGCAATAATGACACAATGATTTTGTGGATAATATGATACTGTGTGTTTTTTTCTTTCTTTCTTTTATCAGGTAAAGATAGGGTAGAGATCAGGATGGTGCAGACAGAATTATAGAAGAATGCTTACCAAAATGTTCTATAAGGATTATATCCTGCTGTTGGGGTTTCAAGTACTTTTAACTTTCTTTTTTATACTTTTTCCTACTGATTGATTTTTATTTTATATCAAGTATGTTTTTAAATCAGAAGAAAATAAAGTTTCATTTTGAAGAATAATTATATTCACTCTTCAAAGATTGAATTCTAAAATCTAATACATTTAGCTTATTTGAATTTCTAATCGATTTTTAAGTCTTAAAAATTTGGAAAAATTTAAATAGATAATATTATATATTGTATATCATCTTTTGCTCATAGAGAATCATTTTACATATACAATAGTAATGGCCTTTATTAGAATAATAGCTTCAAAAATTCTCAGAATTCTACTTAAAAATTAGACATTAAAGGGAAATGGTTAATCTGTAAATTTGATGAAATTCTTTTAGTAAAACTTAACCAACTGTGGAGAATCCTACTAATTTTTAAGTATTTCAAATATTTAATTTGAGTTAAAATTTTTCGAATATTTCCAAAGAGTGCCCATTTTACACTGGCAAATTATCCCCGCTGGGCTACATCCATCCTGTTGCCTTTTCATATTGCCTGTGAACAAAGGATAGTTTCTACCTTTACAAGGGGCTGAAAAAAAAGTTAAAAGAAGAATATTTGATGACCGGTAAAAATGACATAAAATTCAAATGTCAGTGTCCGTAAACCAAGCACAAGGAAAAGAACAGCCTGGCAGGCGGATTACCTGTGAAATCCGCCACCTTCGGGTCTCTTCGTATGGGCCGAGGGTGGCCATAGGGAAAGGACAGGTAGCGGATGTTTTTAGTACCAGCCTGTGGGTAAGAAGCAGAAAGGAAAAGCAGAGGTAAGTCTGTAATTCACACTCTTCCATGGGAAACAGTGGGAGCCACAGGTCCACACTGGGCATCTCATGTAAGCTACAGGCTCACCTGGACTCCGGTTTCTCTGGTTTAAAGGCAGCAGAAAACCTCAGCCTTCAGTACGTGTTTCCTTTCCCTCCCATGAGGGAACCCCTTGGATGATTTTATTTGGGAAAACCCTTGTTTTTTTATTAAGGGAAACAAAATTATGGGTTATTGGGCTATATTGTTATAGGAAAAAATAAAGAGTATTTAGTCCACAGTCAGATCTATGTATTCTACTCATTGGGTTAATTATGATTAAGTGGGATAAGCCAACTAGCCTTTTTGTGCTGGAGTGTCACTGTCTGGAGAAAGGGGATAAAATGCCTGTGTTTCATTGTTCGTGGAAAGAGTCTGAGGATAGAGTAAAACATCAGAATGCATTTGTATTCTTTGCAAACAAGATATCACTAGGAAGTTTACAGGTACCTCTTAATGTTAGCTGGTCAGATGTGTGCTGAAGGTAAGCATTCCTACGGGATCACAGGTTGAATACTTTGTTTGATTTTATTTTGAAAATGATGAAGTGTGAAACTAAAATGTTTGAACAAGGCCACTTAACCCTCTGTTCAGGCGGTTAGTGTTATTATTACTATCCTCCTATTATCACTACATTTGAGCCACAGAGACTAGGGTAGAAATTAGAATCTATCCAGACGTAACCTTTGTCCGGAAGTTCCAGTGAAATTGTTTGATATGGCCTCAAATAGCATAGTTCAGATGCACCGTGGGTAATATGAAGACGAGCCCAAGAGTCTGGGTAAGAACTGATCCTTCCCTAGATCTTTCTGGGAGAGAAGGAAGCCTCCTAGACCCCAGGGCCCCAGTCCGTGGAGGTTCCCCTATGGTCAGTACCTGGCCACTGACACTTGATCTAGACTCACAGCCCAGGGAGTGTGCTCCCAACACTGACCCATCTTGGAGGTCCACCCTAACCATGAACCCTAAAGCTCTGGACCCAGAGGGAAGTTGTCTCATGCCCTGTGCTCTCTTGCTTTTGTATTACTTGTTGTATTACAGCAAGGTGCTGGTTTTGTGTAACTACCACTGGCCGTCACGGAGGAGGCCTGGGAGAGGGACTGGCACAGCCCCCGGGTGTGTCCACGGACCCCACCTTACCGGCTTTCCCCATGGCAGGCTGTGGCCTTTCCTCATGCTCTCCCTTAAGGTATTCTGGCGGCGGATCAGAATCTCTTTAGCCTGTTTCTCGCTTGTTTGGGGTTTGAGGTTGTATTTGTTGTAGGACAGGGTCTGCGGAAGGAATAGAATGTCAAATACGTCAGGATATTTCCAAACCACCATGGCTTTTGGAGACCATGGAAATATCACAAACTAAGAGAAAGAAGACATCAAAGAGGCTACCCGAGCATTTGCCTCAATTACAGGGGAGCAAGCAGTGGCCCCCGAGAAGAAAGGCCTGTGACTGAGGCCACCCTACCAGGAGAGAGCTGTGGTTTGGAGCCTATCCCTTCCAGCCCACACAGCCCTGCTGTCCCCCTGTATTGTCTCTTTTGTATCTTTGCAGTGATCCTGCCCTGAGATACCCATGGACTTCAGCTGCCCCATACCCACACATTTTCCCCGGTCATGTTTTTTATGCCCGGACGGTGCTTACTGAATGTTTGGATCCAATGGATGAGGAAAATGTCAAAACTGCTTTGGGAATTTCATTAAGGTTGCTATTTTTACATTTTTCTGGTTAAAGCCACATTAAAAAAAAAAAATCAACCCATTACCATCACTGTTTAAAAAGGAAGAGGTTTTTCCCCAACCAAAATGAAGGAAAGATATAATTGCCGATTAAAGAGTAGTCCTTCAAACTGAAACAATTATCTTTATAAAAAATTTCTTCCTTATTCTCACCAGGCCAGCGATAACCTGTCTTAAACCACAAACCAATGCTGGTCTTCAAATGTTTACAAAGTACTTAAACTGGAATCTCTTCTCTTTGTACCTTTCACTGTGCAACAGTGACTATACCATCTCACTGGAATACAGGTAACAGACTCAAACTACAGGTCCTGGCGCTCCTGGTTAATGAAAATTGTGATAAAGATTTCCAATTCAATAGCAGAAAGACAATTGTTCTGTGTATCAGGTGCCTTGGTAAGCACAGGATTTTTTAAAAATGGATAATTTTGAAGAACGGTCTTCATAAGGCTCATGGTCTACTTGGGGAATCAAACAAGCATATACTGTTATGTACTCAGGAAGTATTATGATATTGGGTCTGCAGGGATTTATAGAGTACAGGCAAAGGGCACTGATCCAGTCTTGGGTGGGAAAGCTGCATTGCCCAAACTGACTCTTGAAAGATGAGTAGATGTTCCCTTCAGGAAGACGGAACACATGAGATAAGACATGGCTCTGAAAAAAATGTGATGGGAGAGAGGAGGACCTACTGGAGCAGAGCTGGGAATTTGTTTACCACAGGAGAATTTAGTACTTTATTCAAAGCATGGTGAGAAATGAGACAGAGGTATGGGGCGGGACGGGGGTGGTGGAGCACCTAGGGACAACCTGCCAAGAGACGAGACTCCATCGTCCAGGTTAAGGAAGGTTTCCCTAAATGGGGAGCACATGCTCTAGGAGATGCTATAAGATGATCTGCAGTGTAAGGAAAGAATACTAATACTTATGTTTCCATTCATCTTCATAAAAAATATGAAAGAAATTAAATTTCTCTGTACTTACTATGCAGATTTATAATAGACCCTTGCCTGGTCAATATAGGGGATGGTCTAGTCTCCTGCCAGAACAGAAGAGGGTGTTTGTAACAAGGAAGGGTTGACTAAGAGTAGGAAAGTCAACCTCACTGGTTCACTGGTTTTCAGTTTATTGCTTGTCTTTTTGTGTCTATACAGCCAGTTAAGTAGATTTGTGGCTTTCATTATTGTTAGCTAACTAAGCCTCGTAAAACAGACAATTGTCTAAAAGGAGTTCCATATGGAAGGCAGAGGTTGGAGACCAGGGGAAGGATGAAGAATTTGCAAAGCCAACTTTCACCATCTCCTCATAGGAGATCTTTACAAGCCACTCTTGGGAAATTAACCAATCTGATAAAAACCTGGCAAAAAATTAAATTTTTGAAATATGTTTGAAATATGGATTCTTATCCACCGTCACTAATGATGAACCTCAACTTCAGTGCACTCACTGTATAGATGGAGATATTAAGGAATGACACATGATACTATCACAGAAACATTTTAAAACCGAGTATTAGAATCCCAAGACAAACTTTTATAATTTTTTATCAACGTTAAATTCATGCAAAAGTGAAGTCAGTGTGTGTGTATGTTTATATACACACACTTATATATGAGTGTCTATGTGTGTGTGTGTGTGTGTGTGTGTGTGTGTGTGTATGTATATGCATGTTACTGGTAGGAATTTCCTATACCTTGAGTTGAAGCCTGTACTTTGAGGAACATGTGGACATTTTTGTTCTATTTCACCTGATATCACCCATGTGCTTATCCTTGCTTGTCTGCAGGGAGCATAGTAGGTCCTTTGCATATAACATATACGCAGCTTCCTTCACTCTGTTTCATTTAGTCCAGCCCTTTAATGAAGGAGCTGGTGATTGATGAAAGACTGTATTTCCCCCTAGAACTTGAGTTCTATGGGAAAAGGCTATAGATGTGTATTAAATATTGACTGAAGAGAACTGAAGTTGAATAAATTGTTTTCCTTCTTTGAAAGTGTGTGAAATTTTGAGTGTGACCTGATCATTTAGGCCACCCCAGGGGGCTGCCCATCAACCTCTGACTTATCCTTGGAGTCTGAGGTGAGGTCAGTTTCTTCCCTTGAACGTTTAAAGAGAGTGTTTCTCCATCTCCATTCTCAGGGCATTGCAGAGAGCTTCTGTATCCCAGAGGGCTGTCCCAATGGGAACTTCCAGAGGCTAGTTCTTAACTTGTCCAGCAGTGACAATCTGATACTGGATGTGCTGAGGGGAGTGGCTTCAAACAGGAATGGCCAGAGCCCTCCCAGGTGCGATGGACCAGCTCAGTTCCAGATCAACTATTAATCAGGATCCCCAGAGTCAAACCCTGCATTCATCCCACCCTTGCCCTGAAGTGACTCCTGACTCCCAAGATGGCCTCTTCTGAGATGAGACCATGAGAAATGCCCCAGCCATCAGCCCCACACTGTGTGAGGTCCAGTGACCTACCACCCAGGCTAGATACAACAGATGTCACCTTTTGTGACAATCCTCAAAACTGTAGATCACTCACTAGAAACCAAGGAGACACATGACCTGCATTGCATCTCTAGAGAAGTTTTTCTTTCAAGAGGGCTAGAGGACCACAGGTAAAAGGGGAGTCACATGACCTATGTAAAAGATGGGGTGAGAAAGGAGATAGGAAGGGAAGGACTGATAAGGCTCACTCTGTCAAAGTAACAAAAGTGGAGGCAAAAGCCAACTTAGGGGATTGAAACTCCCTTCTGTTTATTATTTATGTTCTCCCTGTGTGACCTTCTATGACCGATCTGCTTATTTGGGGGCAGTAAGAAGGGAAGATGCTATATAGCTTAGACGGGAGAAACCTGGAGGACAGACTAAATAGGAGTACTTAGGAAAGAAGAAATTTGGCTGTCTGGGAACCTTCATGAAAGAAAAGAAAGAGAGAATGGTTAGTTAACTTCATTTTAGCTGGGTTGGAGTCCCAGGAACTCACTCTCCATTTCTGGACCTTTCCTTAAATTCAACCTTTGTCCACGTGGGGAAAAGGCTAGTTTCACCTTGTCTTTGAGCTTGGCCCCCAAGAAACCAGCTGACATTCTTCAAACCAGGAAGCTCTTAAGAATTTATCTAACTATTTATCAGAATGTGATAGTCTTACTGAAACAGTTTCACTTGGAATGATTTGAAAGCTCTTGAATTTACTCTAAGCTTGCTATGATTGATGCTGACCTATATTCCTTCAGCAGGTGCAGAGCCTTTTGCTGACACATTCCCCTTAATCACTGACCTTTCCAAAACAGGAAGCCAGAGAACATTCACTTTACTGGATCACGTAAGGCTGGAGTCACATGGAAAGAGCACTGGGTAGACAGTTGGAAGACCTGGTTCTTAACTTGGATTTTTCTTGTGTGACCTTCAACAGGTCAGATAAACAACTCTCCTAACCTCAGCATCTTCTCCTTGAAATTAAGGGGCTTTAACCTGATGAAATTTTTTGGCCCCACTCAAGACTATGATCTATAACATAGTCACAAAAACCAAGGCCACCAAATGAATTTACTTGTAGCCATATCATACTCGAGAATTAGCATGTTCAATAGAATCCTCAAACTGGAAAAAAAAAAAAACCCTCATCATTAGATTTTGCAAGCTTAAATGTCATTTGACTGCATCAAAATTTCAGAAGGACTCACCCACTGCCCCAGGAATGTTCTTACTATATACTTTCCACAAGTTCTCAAGTGGTAGTATAGACTCCATACCCTTTCCCAAAATTAAAATATAATACACCTAATACATCTCCTCTAATGTAGGCTTTCAGCATTTCAGTAACCATCTCAACTTTCTAAGCTCTTTTACAGTCAAACAGATTGAGCATATCATTGGCGTCCTGGTGCCATCTTTCTCTGTGGTGTGGTGAATGAGCTCCACCGCTTGTTGTTCATCTCTGTTGGTCTGGAAAGTACCAGGCTGCAGGGCTAGGGCAGCCTGACCCCTAGGGCCAGCAACTGGATCTGCATTCCTTTTTACAACACATGTGCCAATTTTTTTTTTTTTTTAAAGCAGAAAAGTAACAATTAACTTTCTGTTCTCCAAATCAGGCAGAAATAAATGGTTTAGCCAGAAGGCTGCTTTAGAGGAGATAATGTGAACAAGAACGGATTCCTGAAGGACTGGTTCCAAGGCCAGGCAATGGGACAAGTCAGATGGCTTATACACACCCTTTGTCGAACTTGGTACATGTTGTGTGTCAGAATGTCCCTCATGGACTCCACGTCTTCTGGGGAAAGCCTTTTAGTTCCGTGTATCCTCTGGGCCCTGAAAACATCAATGGAGGGAAGCCAAGCATTATTCTTACATCCTGGCAAGAGCGCCACAAAAGTGTCAATATATATGTGGGAGTTCTAAGTTCCAGAACCCATGTTTTAACACAATTTTTTCTACTGTTTTAGTTAGTAAGTTTAGTAAGACACAATACATGCGTCTTGACTTACCATTTTGAAAATATGGTTTCCTTGCCTATAGCTTTTATGTGGGAACTAACTCATTTTTTAGAAAGGAGTTGAAGGTGGTTACAAACCAGTTATTTTTTCCCTCCACATCTGTAATGAGCAGACACGCTGGTAAAACACAATAAAATCAATTGCTAGAAAATAAATGTTTAAAAAGATACTAGAAAATTAGAACCAAATGTTTTACTGTTAGAGTCAATGGAAATAAGAGAGTATTCAGCAAGACTGGCTCGTGGTTAGGTCTGCACTGATCTCATTGCAGACAGGTGACAAAGAGCTCACAGACACCATCCACATGCCACATTTTGAATAACACTGATCTAAGGGACTACTAAAATTCTGTGAGTACATTTACCTTGGAATGGTCCCTTTAGGAATTTTATCATTGGTTGAAGAATAATTGTAAGAAACTAGAATCATATTTTACAAGGATGATTTGGACTATTTCTATTCTGAAAGCCAGCACAGCTCTGAGACACTGGGCACTCTGTGAGATTCTAGAAGCCGTTGACTGCTCTCTGCCTCCGCATGACCAGCTCCCCAAGGCTTCCTTCACTATGAGCCCTCCCCGTCCCCCCCACCCGCTGCGCCCCCGAAAGGGTTTAAATATCAAGTCATGTCCAGGTTATCGTCAATGCACAATTGTCTTCGAGGGTTTCAAAATCATGACATTGCTATGTGCAGAATTCCCATGTGACAAATATATTTGATTTCAGTCATTTCAATCTAGTGGCAGAAATTTCTAGTAAACATTTCATTGTATGAATAATATATGTTCACTATAAAAAAATACGAATGAAAAAGAGAGAACTAAAGAAAATTAAATACATCTTTTAATACTCTCCTCTCCCTTAATATCTTGGTATAAAACCTCCCAGAATGTTGATTTTTTTTTTCTTTCCTTGCTGGAGCTCTTCTTGGTGCGTAAAGGCATGGAGACCCTAATATCTGCTTGCAAAAGGTCTTACAATAATTGATCACAGAAATCAGTAGTTATTGGTTTCAATACAGGCCACTTTTTTTAAGTATGTTTTTCCTAAACATTAGTAGCAAAATAGCAAGAACATCTTGTGAGTACTTTTTGTGCATTTGTAAGTACAATTGGTAAAATATTTTTAAGAAAAAATATTTATGAAAATATTTTTAAGAAAATATTTTTAAGAACTAAGAACTCAGATACCAGGTATCACAGCATGCCAGAATTTATTTAGCAATCTTATCCATAGACTGACTAATGAATGCCCTTTCTACAAAATCCTTGAAATCAGAGTTTCCATATCTCAAAGCTGCAAATGTCAACACTATCGATATTCAGTTACCACCCTTGGTGATCTAAACATTATTATCAGGGCATTTCAACCTCACTATTGAAAAGTCCTTGAAATAAAATTTATTCTGATTGAGATATACCTACACATTCCCACAATCTGAACACATTCCTTTATTATGATGGAAGCAATCTCTTGCTGAGCAGAAGAAAACAGCTAATTGAAAAGTTACATTTCCTATGTTCATAATGATATTCACAACCAAATAGAAAAGAAACCATAAGATAATAGTGAAATTAAACTCAAGATAGCAGTAGGTCTCACTTGGCACCCTTCCCAGTTTATAATTGGCCACTTTGGGAAAGACTAGACTTAATTAAGGTCCATTCAGGCTGTTGGCTAGATGTGTAATACAGGGATCCCAAAGGCATTATCTCATACTGACCCACACTGAGAAGCGACAGCTATGAAATTATACAGAGGAATTATTAATTTAGGCAAGGTGATACCTGGAGTTTTCTACACGCCACTTCATTAACAAAATCATCCCTGAGATGATCATATTGTGAGCACAGAAAGATATAATCCTTAGAAAAACCAAATACTAAATAATCTATAGGTCAAAAAAAATAAAATTATAAGCTGAGAGATGCTTGTCACTGGAGCATTCATTCAATATCCATAAAGGAAATTTCTGTCACCTTAAATAAAATTAATTTCATGACAATTAAGATCAAACTGGGAAAATCTGAATCCAAATGTATTTAAATAAAAGGTTCACATTGCTCTTAGCTTTTTTTAATCAGATGCTATAATAATGTAAAAAGACACTTCAGTTCAAAACACAGCAATATAAATATGAAATCTAGTAGATGTTCTATTCATGCCATGATATGAATTCCTAAAAGATCGAATATTATACCTTGATTCATTTGAAAGAACACTTTTCTTGTGATAGTTTTACACACGAAACCCATAAGAAATGTATGCTAAGGTAAATGAAGAATGCGTCCTCTGATAAACCAATGGGACTCAACTGCTCTTCTCTGTGTGTGGGCTCCTTGTGTCTTTTTAGAAAGGTCACATAGACTACCAACATTTAGGATGAGTGAAGAGTGGTGTAGGAGAGAGCCTGGCTCCGCATGACACAGTGTTTCATTATGGAAGTGAAAATGGCACCAGAATCTTCATTCTGGAATCTTTGGTATAAGAAGCATAATTGTAAGCCTCTACCTGCCAATGTGTGATCAATTAAAAAATTCTTAAACTACAATAAAGTAAATTTATAGATTTTTTTTAATAAACGACATGTTTATTAAATGCTCTTTGGGAGCATTTAAGGATGAAGCTTTGAAGTTCTACAGTTGTAGTTTGTTGTACCCATAACTTTATACACACTTTAATATCTCTTTAATATTAATCAAATATTTTTAAGGGTTTGACACTTTTAATCATTTGAGCCTTTATTGTCTGGTATTTCTAAAAGCTTCCTACTCATTGGTGAAATGAGGTGCCTCTTGTTTAAAATAATAATCCAAGTACACACTCTATCTATTTCTTAGGGTTGTTTTGAAGGTCAAATAACATAATCCATGCAAAAAAAAGGGGGAGGGCATTCCGTAGAAGAAAGGCCATCTGCTCTGTGCTATTGACGACTTCTGGTGATAGTGTTCTCCTGAGGTTCACAGAGTTTGGAAAGCTAACTCTCTCGTAGAACAATTGCTTAAACTTCTAAAGAAAAAAAATATATGTGCATTTTGTTGTTATCATCACATACAGAATAATAAAAAGCGAGCTGAGTACACACTTCTTTTTCCTATTATTGTATGAAGGTTTGTTTTGAAGAAATTAGCTGCTTTGATCTTGGGAGAGGAATTCCTTTTTGCTTGATGTCGTACAGATTTCTGAGATCAAATGAATGCAATTTAAATACGATTAAACTTGTATAAAATATCAGGTAAAAGAATCTCCTCTCCTAACCCAGTTAACTCACGGGTTTGGGCTAGTGCGGGGGGTGGGGGAAAAGTCTCTAACCTCTTGGGCTCTCTTATTAATCTTGACTCAATGTCCAAAAACTAATGAACTCAACAGAAAGGCTCCCTCCAGATAAAGCTGGCTTGGAAACTGCCTTGAGGTTACAGGCTGGGCTGGCTGCTTACGACCAATGCAACGTAATACAGAGATTGCAAATATATTTTAGCACATGACAGCCTGATTCTCATTTGAGATAAGCGCCCCTACATTCTTAGACCAAGAGCTCACAGGACTACTAAGCAAATGGATTGAGGAAGTTCCTAATGGTTTAAGGTGCCTGAAGCTATCCAGACCTCCTGCAGGGCATTAACTCCCCTTTCCCCCTTCAGTGGGCAGGTCAAATGCCTGGGGACCAGAGGGTCACCTCTTCTCACTCTCATAGCTCCCTAGACTTTAGGATTATAAGTTTGTGAGACTTTTTTTTTTTTTTTAATTAATGCCATGACCCCACTAGGGTTTGTGCTCCATAAAGCCAGGGACTGTGTCGGCTTAAAGTCCCTGGCACATAACAGTTGCCCAAGGAACAGGGTTGGGCCCAAGATTATGCCAAAACGCTCAGTCAAGTTAAGTAGGATGCAAACACAATATTTTAGAAAACAAAGGTCACTGTAAAAAAGAAAACAATCCACGATGAGTACAATATCAACATTTTTAAATAAAGACAGGATTGACAATATTGAATTTGTTTTGTTTTGGTTTTTGTTTTTTTCCCTTCTGCCTTAGGCTCTAACATGGCTCCGCATGGCACTGCCAATAAATATTTGTTAGCACACTGCCATTTTGGTATATGTGCTGCCGAAGCGAGCACACCACAGTGCCATTTTGGGATCAGCAGTTTCCTTAAAGCAAGCCAGGCAACCGGGAGCACCAAAACAAACAAGCAAACCACAAAAACAGTCTCACTGAGAAATAAGGCAGAAAGCTCTGTTTACACTGAGATGCCCTCAGGGATCGGACTTAAGTTTTTCTCAGGCCTGGAAGAAAGGCAAGGGTGTTTCTGATTCATTAGCAAGTAACGGATGCGAGATCACACTCAGTCATTAGCGACCTTTTTACTGCTATCTGTTCTTAGCTCTTATCTCAACCTGCTTTTCAAACGTGAAGACTCAATTAGAGCTCATGATCAAGTGTCTACAGAAGAATACGGGATGACAGTGTTCCTTCTCCTATAGAAATTATGAGTAATTTTCCTCAATTCATAAACTCCTTTTTTTTTTAAAGATTTTATTTATTTATTTGACAGAGAGAGAGATCACAAGTAGGCAGAGAGGCAGGCAGAGAGAGAGGGGAGGAAGCAGACTCCCTGCTGAGCAGAGAGCCCGATGTGGGGCTCGATTCCAGGACTCTGAGATCATGACCTGAACCGAAGGCAGCAGCTTATTCCACTGAGCCACCCAGGCGCCCCCATAAACTCCTTTTTAAAAAATATATATTTTAATTTGTCAGAGAGAGAGTGCACACAAGCAGGGGGAGCAGCAGGCAGAGGGAGAAGCAGGCTTCCCACCGAGCAGGGAGCCTGATGTGGGGCTCGATCCCAGGGCCCTGGGATCATGACCTGAGTGGAAGGCAGACGCGCCTAACCATTTGAGCCACCCAGGCATCCCTCATAAACTTCTTCATGAAAGAAACCTGGACATCCTTGAGTGGGCAGGGGGATGGGGAGGGGGTTGGCAGGTAAATGTAACTAGCCCACCAACCACCACACCTCCTGTTACCACCCCTCGACCCCTAATCCTAGCTAGCGTCAAAGGATGCTGATTGGGTCTCTCCTCCTCATATGAGACAGGAAGAGAAATAAACTTGCGGGAGAAATACATATTATTATTAGTGTACAATTAGCAAAAATCAAATGAACTGGGGTTAAGGGATAGAAATTAATCAAAAAGAGAAAGAAAAAGTCTTGTAAACTATGCCATCATTCTAGAAATTCACTTGCCCCTCCTTCCCAAGGTAAGCAGTCATACAGCTATAGCAAGCAACTTTTGCTACAAAGTAATGTTCAGAAACTAGGTGAGAGAGGCTGAGCATGGGCCAACGTACAAATGGCCAATGACCTAATGGCCAAGACTTGGGTCATCCTTTTCCCATGATTCCTCCTTCAAATTTCTGCCTCTTCACTCCTTGTATTATCTCTAATTGAAACGATGAGTTAGTGCCTCCTAGGAATTCTGACATGGAAAGTCCAGATCAAAGGACATACAGGACTTACTGGTGGGGTACGGAAAAGGATGTGGAACTGAGGATCCCAGTTTCTACCATCTCGATAGCTTGTTTCATTTCCAGCTTCTTGTACAAGGAGACAATGCTGGACTTGGGCTGGTTCTTTCGGGTTAGGATTTTCCGTAAATATCTGTGATCAAACTTCTTAAACCTAAAAACAAAGACCAATGGTTTGGACACCTTTAATCTCTGTACATGTTATAGATGTATGTATTTTTCCTAAAACAAACTATTACCTCACTTTGTTCGAACACCAGGATAGTGCTGAAAATTTAGTCTTTGAACACATTTTTAAAAAATAATAGGAATTTTATATTTTTATATTTTATTTTTATTATATATGTATTTTTTTAATAAAGAAAGAATAACCTAGTGGCCTGAATACATTGAAAATCAACTAGACAAAAGGGAGGGACAAGCTGCAATTAGGGCAGAAAGTATGCATAAGTGCGGAGCGGGGGAGGCCCAGCCCAGCTCAGCTCCAATTGTAAGAGAAGAAATGAGGGGTTGAGGCTTTTGAACAAATGTTCCATTCTAACAGCTTCCAACAGTGGCAGCTGCACTTACAGTAATACTGGCCTATTCAACCAGAACCCAATAAATTTAAATGGCCCAGTAGTTACAGTAGTTTTGCCCATTATGCTGCAGATCATTTTGATTCCTGACAATGCAAGAGGGAGCAGTGGTGGGGGGGGGCCACATATCCTGACAATCTGAATGATGGGGAAGCTGAATAGGCTAGGCGCTGATGGCCGCTGACTATTGGAGCAAACCTCTGGCTGACCCATTGGACTGAGCTGCATGTCCGCATATGGCGCCTCCAGAGTCGGCTATTTGCTTGGAGTACGAATTTTCAACCCTTCCAATCATTTTACATTCAAAGAGTCATTTGTGTGCCTGCTTTATTTTCTGGAGGGGAAAGCAACTCCCTGGGCGGCTGCCTTCTTATCTGGTGATTGGTCTCCTGGTCTGTGAAGCAGATGGATCCTTTATAAGTCAAGTCTCCTCTGGGGTTAGCAGGCTGTGATTCCTTACGACCTACGTTTGGCTCATGCCAGACCTGTTCTTGCTCCAAGTGGGCTCACCCCTCAGCCTTCTTGTTTTCTGCCTTTCTTCAAGAGAGGCTGTTTGTTGCTCCTATCTATTGTTCAATCCACTGAATTGCTCCCCACCCATAGGACCTCCCTGACACTCTTCATACTGAGCTCACCTTGACCTTTACTGTTCAACACGGGTGGGTGCCCCACGTGCCACCTAGATTCTCCTGATGGGCCGCCAGGTCATTTCCTCTGTGCCCTCCACCACCTGATCCACACCTGTTTCCCTTTCAGCCTCCCTAAAGACCTCTTCCAAATCTCTTCTTCTTCCTTACCTGTCCCAGAGGAATGGAAGCTTCTCAGAGTCCTGTCCTCATTCAGCTTCCCCTCTTCACAGCCTGGTAGTATTTAACTGAACATTCTTCTATTAGTCTATACATTTCACCATAGTGGTGTTATCCCCCTAGACTCACTATCTGGAAATCTGAGAGTCACTCTTACTGTCTTTCCTCACCGTCCTCTCCCTAAGCCCCTGCTCAGTCCCCATGCCTGCCTTCTGCTAGTTCCTCATCCCTATGATTCTAAAAGCTCTGTGGTTCACTGAAAACAGAAGAGGCTCTAAAGCCAGACCTAAATTCAATCAAGGTTCCGCTATAGGTTAGTTGATCTCCTGGAGTTGGTTTCTTCATCTTCAAAATGAGAAAAATAGGACTAACACAGGAGATTCAGGAGATCATGTAAGATACAATATATGAAACAGCTAGCATAGTACCTGGGGCTTATTTTGTGTTTACAGGATGAAATTCTTATGTCCACGTGGATATCCCTTACACATCTCGCACCCACAGTATCTCTTAAATTCAGCTTCCATATCGCTGTTGTTGTTTGCCTTTCAAAAGCCAAGTATGGTTATACTACTCTTCTATTTGTTTCTTTCTTTTTTCCTTTTTAAAAAATGTTTCTTATTTTATTTGAGTTCAGTTAATTATCATATAGTGTACCATTAATTTCAGATGCAGAGTTCAGTCATTCATCAATTGCATATAACACCCAGTGCCCATTACATCACGTGCCCGCCTTAAAGTCCATCACCCAGTTACCTTATTCCCCTACCCACCTCCCCTCCTACAATCCTCAGTTTGTTTCTTATGATTAAGAGTCTCTTATCTTTGTTTTCTTCTCTGATTTTATCTTATTTTATTTTCCCCTCTTCCCCTATGATCCTCTGTTTTATTTCTTGAATTCCACGTATAAATGAAACCATATGATAATTTCTTCCTCTAATTGACTTATTTTGCTTACTGTGATATCCTTTAGTTATATCCATGTCATTGCAAATGGTAAGATTTCATCCTTTTTGAAGGCTGAGTAATATTCCACTGTGTACATACACCACATTTACTTTATCCATCCATCTGCCAATGGATGTCTGGGCTCTTTCCATAGTTTGGTTATTATGGGCATTGCTGCTATAAACATTGGGGGTGCGGGTGCCCTTTCAGATCACAACATCTGTATTCTTCGTGTAAATACCTAGTGGTGCAATTGCTGAGTCATAGAGTATCTTTATTTTTAACCTTTTGAGGAACCTCCACACTGTTTTCCAGAATGGCTGCACCAGCTTGCATTTCCACCAACATTGTAAGAGGGTTCCCCTTTCTCTGCATCCTTGCCAACATTTGTTATTTCCTGACTTGTTAGTTTTAGCCATTCTGACTGGTGTGAGGGGGTATCTCATTGTGGTTTTGATTTGTATTTCTGTGATGCCAAATGATGTTGAACTTTTTTTCAGGTATCTGTTGGCCATTTCTGTGTCTTCTTTGGAGAAATGTCTGTTCATGTCTTCTGCCCATTCCTTGGCTTGGGTTATTTGTTTTCTGGTTGCCAAGTTTGATATTGGATATTAGCCCTTTATCAGATAAGATATTTGAAAATATCTTCTTTCATTCTATAGGTTGTCTTTTGGCTTTGTCAACTGTTTCCACTACTCTTCTATTTTACACTACTCTATTTGAAACTCTTTTGATCTAAATGTTCAATGTCAAATAGAATTTTATAGCATTAATGGCTGTATAGAGTTTCTTAGCACTGTGCCATAGAAGTGTTTCTCTGTCTTTCCAACCTCTTGTCTCACCACGTCCCTTTCTCTAACTGTGTCTAACCCATGCTGTGCTCTTTCTTGCCTTACATTTTGAAATATCCTGCTGCTACTGCTGCTGCTTGGCAGGTTTTCCATTCTTCTTTGCCTGGAGAACTCTTCATGTATTTTCAAAATATACTCCCATCACTGTACTATTATAGATCTATGCATTTGCCTCTGTTATAGCATTTCTTGTATGGATCATCATTATCGATTCAGGCTCTTTCTCTTTTCTTTCCCCAAAGACCTTTTCTACTACATTATGAGGACCTGGAATGTATTGAATGTGTCTTACTGCTTAGTGTCTAGAAAATTTGGTGTAAATTTGGCTAAATGGAATAATATTAAATGATTTTTCACTGGGTGAACTATCAGGTTTAGACTTTAAAAATCCATGACCTAGGTTCTAGGTTGGTGGACATTTACACAAATTAAGTTCTATTTTAACACTATGAGGAATGTCCTTTTTACTTCATAAAAAAGAACCCACTCAAAATGCAAATTTGTGCAGCCACTGTGGAAAACAGTATGGAGGTTCCTTAAAAAGTTAAAAATAAAACTACCTTATAATACAGGAATTATACCACTGAGTATTTAACCCCAAATACAAAAACACTAAATCAAAGGGATACATGTAGCCCTATGTTTAAAGCCGCATTATTTATAATAGCCAAACAATGGAAGGAGCCCAAGTGTCCATCGACTGACGAATGGATAAAAAAAGATATGATATATAAAATGGAATATTACTCAGCCATCTAAAAGAAGGAAATCTTGCCATTTGCAACAACATAGATGGAACTAGAGAGTATAATACTAATTAAAATAAATCAGTCAGAGAAAGACCAATACTACATGAGTTCACTCACATATAGAATTTAAGAAACAAAACAAAGGAAAAAAGAAGACAAACCAAGAAACAGACTCCTAATTATAGAGAACTGATGGTTCCCAGAGAGGACATGGTGGGGGGGATGGGTAAAACAGGGGATGGGGATTTGTTGTGTTGTTGTGATGAGTACCAGGTATTGCATGGCAGTGTTGAATCACTCACTATATTGTACACCTGAAACTAACATAACACTGCATGTTAACTAACTGGAATTAAAATGTAAAAATAGATTACTCACAGACTCACAAAATAAAAAATAAAATAAAACTTAAAGACCCCACACAAAAGCTCTCAGTTTCTTATTTAGGTGCCACTACCCATCTTGACAGCAAGACTGTTCAAAAGCCAGTTTCTCTCCACATCACCAACATCAATATGTTGGCAAGCCCTAGAAAGAAAACTTCCATTGTTTGGTTAACTCAACTACTGTCACCTCCTACATTCACTAAATAGCTGTGTTTAACTCCCAAGCTCTCATCTTCCTTATTCTGAGTGAAACTCTCTTCAGGGCCACATAAGAAATATGCTGTAGACTAAAATCCAGGAAGAGAATGTGTTCTGAAATGTGAGATGTGGTGGAGAAGAGAGACTTTGGCATTTGTATAGAATCACATAGAAAGGACCCCTGAAGGTCTTTCATTGTAACCCTCCTCCCCAGTGGAGGAGTTTCTTCCCCAGGATCTTTGATGACTCACTCAACTCCCTTTGTAGCCTTATGAAGCCAGTCATTTCATGGTTAAGCTTCTCTTTTCATCGGGAAAATTGTCCTTGTTTTAAACTTAGGTCTGACTTCTCTAATTTCAACCTGAAAGTTGCACTAGTTCTCTCTGACACACCTAGCCCAAATCTACAGCCCCTCCACCTGAGAGCTCTCCACTCACAGGCTAGGCATTGCCACAGCTTCACCTGCCATGATTGCTGGGCCCTTTGTATTCCTGGTCCCATTCCTCTGGGTTCTTTAAGTCTTATGCTCAATTTTCAATGTAACATTCTGAGGTTCCTCAGGCCACAGATATCCTTCCTAGTCAGTGAAACCCTCTGCCTCCTTACTTGTCTCTCACTTGGTAGTGGCTCCATTGCCCACACACATCTTCAATTCCAGCTTTCAAGTGATCCATCAGCTGCCAAACCAAATACAGGAAAATGACTGCTGGTGAAATGTTAACTCTAAAAGACACACAAGGAAAGCTAATACACTTTGGAAAACAAAGGAGGTTTTAATTTCCTGGAACATGTCCTCTTTTCTATCAGTCTGTTCATGTAACTGAAACTTATAATGCCTTCCATAGTAATTCAACTTAGTTTCATGATTCAGACTCTGCTGATAAGCTCCTTAAGAATGCACATAAACAGGGTACCTGCTATTTATTTTGAATACTATTTTTCTAGAACGACTTGGACAATGTCTCATTACTGAGATCACGTGAATGTAATTCTAATTGTTACTTATAATTTCAACACAAAAGAAAAATATTGTCAGGATCCAATTTATAGAGTTTCCGAAAATAGAATTCTACAGATATCCTATAATAACAATAACTCATAGCAAAATTTACCTATTTGCCTCATTTTTATCTGATTATTTTGTCTCAGCATTACACTTCACAACCCAAGCCAATTATACTAAATTTGCTTCACCCAAATTATTAATAGGAATCTCAGAAAAAAGCATAACCTCTTCAAAATTTATGAATTACTCTTCATAATTTAAACTTGTAATCATTGAAGTTTATACTGACTTCTAAAATACTTCTGCAAAATAGATTAAAATACTAAATTAATTCTGAAATATTTAACTGATGTACTTTCTACCAGTAATTATAACTCTATTTGAGAAAAAATTAAGGAAGGAGTAAAGTACCCAAGTTCTATTGTCTTAGGTATATTATTTAATTTCTAAAAATACCAAATAGAGGGTATAAAAATAGAAACAAAAATCTTCAATCAGGTTAAAGTGTTTCTTATTTTTTTAAAGACTTTATTTATTTATTTGAGAGAGCGAGAGAGAGAATGAGCAGGGGGGAGGGGCAAAAAGAGAGGGGGAAGCAGACTCTCTGCTGAGCAGGAAGCCTGACACAGGGCTCAATCCCAGGACCCTGGGATTGTACCTGAGCCAAAGGCAGACACTTCATAGATGGAGTAACCCAGGATCCCCAAAACACTTCTTATTTTTAAAACATTTGCTCCTTATCCCCATCTGTTGAAAATTTTCAAATGGCCTTGAAGATTATCGGTTTGGGTTTAGAAGATTTTGGCCATAAAATTCCGGGCTGATTTTGAAAGACTTCATCAGTCTCTCCAGCATTATGATCATGAAGTTATAGGCATAAAAGAAACCCTAAAATTATCTGAGACAATCATCCCTGCAGAGCCTGAATCTCCTGTACAGCAGCTATGCCAAGTGTTCCCAGTCACTGTTTGTACACATCCATTTTAGCTTTGGGTGTGCTATGGGAGAAACCATTGCCAGAATGGTCTTCCTTAGCTGAGCTGAGGTCTCTTTCCCTTTGTCTTCCATGTATTCCTTCCCATTTTTATGCTCTGGAGCCATACAAAATGGCATCCATCTAATACTGTATTGAACTTAAACAGATAGAAACCATGCTCAACTACATCTTTGTCAGAACTGAATGTTTTCACTGAAAACTGTACTAGGCTGTATCTGCAGAAGGAGTAGAAATCTTTATCCTTCCCTAATGAGAAGATCAGAACGAGCAGAAGGGCCCATGTTCCATTGGAACGATGATTTCAGAAGCAAGTAGGGCAATTATGAGCATTAGTTACTGTGATGGTTTTTTGAGGTGTCCTCTAAGCAAGGCTAGTCCCAGGTACTAGTAACACTAATCTATATGTTGCTGTGAAGGTATTTAGTAGATATGATTAAAGCCCATAATCAGGTGTCTTGAAGTGAGGGAGATTATCCCAGATAATCTGGGTAGGCCTAATCTGATTAGTTAAAAGGCCTGAAGAGTAGGACTGAAGCTTCCCTGATGAAGAAGAAAACTCCAGTTGTGCACTGTGCAGCTATGGCCCATGCCTGAGGGTTCTGGTCTACCCATCCTGAGGGGCTGTCTTGCAGATTCTGGGCTTGCCTAGTCAGCCCACACAGTAGGTAAGCCAATTCCTTCCAATGACATTCTTAATATATATCTCTTACTGGTTCTGCTTCCCTGTTGAATCCTGACAGAAACACTTCCAGCTTGGACCAAAAAGCAAGGCGAATAGATAAAATGAAAGCGAAGGTTGGGACCCCAAAGTTCTATAGGCAAGAAACAGGCTGATCAAAGGAATGAGCTGAAAACACAGGCCATCTTTCATGAAACAAGAAGGATGACTCAGAGGGTGGAGTTGAGAATCCAGAGGGTGGAACCCATATTGGAGTTCTGATCGAGGGAACAGAGGTAGTTCCCAGGCCTTGAAACCAAGTAATTTTCCCAGTCATTAGAAATGACTCCATTTGTTTCCTTCCATTTCCCCCCTTTTTGAAAGGGAATATCTATAGCCATTATCTTATGACTGCCCTACCAGTGTATTTTAGGATCAGATGATTGTCTCTTGAATTCCACAGGTTCAGCTTTGGAGAAGAGCTGTGCCTGAGGATGGATAATACCCAGAGGGTCAATCATCTCTGATTTAGATGACTGAGATGATGAGATTTGGGACTTTGGTGCTGATAAAATTTAGGTGAGATCTTAGTCCTACGGTTGACACTACAATGGATTGAGAATTTGGGGACCTCAGGATAGAGTTAATGTATTTTGCCTGTGGAATAGATATGAATCTTTGAAGGGCCAAGGGCAGACTGATAGACAGAATAATGGTTCATGCAGATGTCTATATTCTAATCCCCAGAACCTGTGAATATGTTAGTTTATATGCAAAGGAAAATTAAGATAGTAGTTGGACTTAGGGTTGCCAACTTTAAGATAGAGAGAATATCCTAAATTAACCACATGGGCCCAACATAATCATAAAGGTCTTTAATGTGGAAGAGGAAGGCAGAAAATTCAGGATCAGAGTGATGCAACATGAGAAAGACCTGAGTGGCCATTGCTAGCTTTGAAGATGAGAGGGGTCCATGAGCCAAGGAATGCTGGAGGATTCTAGAAGCTGCAAGAAGCAAGAAAACAGATTTTTCCCTAGAAACTCCAGAAAGAAATGCAGCCCAGCAACATCTTGATTTTAGCCCAGTGAGGCCCATTTTGAACTTCTGACCTCCAGAACTATAAGATAATAACTATGGTTTTTTAAGCTACTAAATTTGTGGCAATTTCCTACAGCAGCAATCAGAAACTAGTACAGTCACTCTTAATCTAGCTGGCGAGGAAAGAAGCTACATTTAGTAATGTGTATGCAACATCTCATCAAAGCTCTAGATTACTCCTGTCAGTGACAAGTGGAGAACATCCTTTTAGCTTATTAATTATGACAGAGATAACTTACACGAATATGAAGCTCTTCATTGATGGATTCTTTTTTATTGGTCTTTCTAACATCCAGGTACCTGACCAGTGGGCCAATTGTGATTCCCTAGACCACAAATGACAAAATAAAGAGTTCTGTTGTAGTGAAGATTGTCATATAGAGAGCAAATCTATTAGCAAAACTGTTAGAGCTTCCAATTTTCATATCTTTGTTTTGTACTAGCTTTGATTGGATAAATGCTCTAATATTTAGTTCTTATTTAAGTCTTTCAAATTCTGTAATGAAAATAGATATTACTTTGGGACTCCTGGGTGTCTCAGTCCTTAAGTGTTTGCCTTTGCCTCAGGCCATGATCCCAGTGTCCTGGGATCAAGCCCCATGTCAGTTCCCTGCTCAGTGGGAAGCCTGCTTCTCCCTCTCCCACTCCCCCTCCTTGTGTTCCCTCTATTGCTGTCTCTCTCTGCCAAACAAACAAATAAATAAATATTTCTTTAAAAGAAAAAAAAAAGCATAGCTTTAATCACATTTCTCTTTAAAAAAAGCATTACTTTTTTAAAATATTTTATTTATTTATTTGACAGACAGAGATCACAAGTAGGCAGAGAGGCAGGCAGAGAGAGAAGGGAGGAAGCAGGCTCCCCGCTGAGCAGAAAGCCCAATGCGGGGCTCCATCCCAGGACCCTGGGATCATGACCTGAGCTGAAGGCAGAGGCTTTAACCCACTGAGCCACCCAGGAGCCCCTAAAAAAAAGGCATTACTTTAAGGCAGGAGTTTAGTGTCATCCCTTAAAATAACTTCTCATTAGTTTGCTGAGAAAAAACTCCGGCTAAAATAAAAACTTGAGCTATCCAGTACTAATGGAAATCTTGTTTTCAGTAAAACACATTAGAGTAACTATCATTCACCTGCTACCCAGGAATATTTTGACTAATATATCTTATTGATTAAAAAGCAACATATTTTAGAGGTTAAAGGATGAACACAAACATGATCTAGAAGTATTTGGGAATTTAGTTGGAGTACTGAGCATATGTTGAAAAATTAGACAAAGCATCCCTTTTTTTGGTACTATATGTATTTAATACATTATCTTGAAAGACTTTACTTATTTCAGATATGAAAAAAATCTACTAACCTGAATAAATACAGTAAAATATATAACTACTAGAGTAGCGGTGACAAACATTTTCTTCCTAGGAAAAAGAGACAGAGGAAGCAAAAATGCAAGTGAAAAACTTCCAGCTCCTCGGACACCACTGTAGAAAATTATGCACTGGTCCTTGATGGAGAAGGGGAAAGTCCGAAACTGGTTACTGACATAGAAGAGAGCAAATACGCCTAGAAAGGGGGAAATACATATTAGAGCAGAGGGTCATGAATGAGTAGATATCCAGTGCTAGCATACCCAAATCGTGTGCACGTGCCCGCAACCTAATTTCATCACATCCATGCTTGTCCATCCCAAACAGAACATCCTACAAAACTTCATTTCTTGAGTAGTTGTGAACAGTAGTATACTTCACGTTGTTAGCTTCCTAGTCTGTACGAATGTGTGTGTGTTTAAAGTCATAAAATCTTGATACTTTTTGATATGACATGACATATATATTCTAATCTATACTCAAAATTTTTGCTCTGCCTTTCAAAACTAGCTAAAGCAAGGATATTACTTGGGGGATAGAAACATTTTTGTCATCTCATGTTCTCAATGAGTAACAAAAGGAGGCATATAATTTTAAACATAAGAGGACTCTCTTAGTGATTGTGGTCTCTGCTGGGTAAGCAAAACTTTTGTGGTTGGTTTGGTTCTTCTTGAGGTTCAATGCAAACAAGAAAGTTGGCAAGAGCTCAAAGGGGGGGGGTTAGTTCTTACCATCAGTAAGTGGAAAATGGAGGGTGACAGAGCTTGTTTAAAACACAGGTGTTTTCTACCTCACTGATTTTTCCATCTCTGAGTGGCCGGCATGACCTAACTTACCACCAATGCGCTGCTTCCTGGTGGGAAAGGTCCTTCACTAAAGCTCTGACTAAGGAGCTTTTACTGCAGAATAAAACTCTCAATATCCACGTGTGACTTCTAATCACACACACCTCACAGCAAGCAACCCTTGATGACAGGCACATGGATGATGTGAGAGATGGTAAAATCTAAAATTTTTCATTTTGTTTTATGTGTCCTGGCTTCTCCACATACTAGTATGTGACCTTGGCTAAGGTTCTAATCTTTTCATGTAGTCCGTCTCTCTGAAGGAGGTAATGGTAGTATTTACTTCAGAAAGTAGATGGAAGGCTTACATAAATTAAATATCTATATATAACAGAAAGCAGGGACTTTGCGTTATAAGCCTTCATGACTACTATTAGCCACAAGAAGTCAGGCTGGGGATGAGAAGAGGCTGGGAGAGAGAACTGGATTCTGTCAGCTGACTCTGTCCCTCACTGTGACGTGACCCAGTCAGCCATTCTCTCAGCTAGAATATGAGGGAATTGGGTTGGATTGTCACCAAGGACCAACAATATTGAGGTATCCAAAATATTAATCCTTTCTTAGATGGTTTATACTCCTGTTGGCTGGGCTGAAGTTCAGTAATATTACTTCTCTTGACATTAGAGAGGGAAGGGAACCCAGAAAATTTGTTCATGCCTCCCATTTTGTGGTTGAGGAAGACGATTTTTAATATAGCTAGTTATTAGCCATGCTGAGATTTGATTTGAAATTATACATTTGTATTGTTAAATAACACAGTTTCCTTAATTCTTTTCACCCCAAGAAACCGAACAGGCATACATATTCAGAGTTGGTGTTTTGAATATTTTAATATTTTCACATTCTTGTTATTCTTTCCTAGATTTAAGACCCACCTTAAATTAATTTAGAATTGCATGTTTAAGGTAAGTTCTTGAATCATTTTCCCTAATTCCTCTTTAACTGTAATTAGCTTGAAAATATTGATAAAGTCAATCAAGCAAATGTTTCAAATCCTGGTCAAAATCATTTAAAAATAAAACTGCTTCTAATCAAAGGGCAGCACTTATAATGTCATTTGGTACTTAATGTTCTTGCTAGCCCCAGAAACATAATGTACAATATAAATAAGCAGCCTTTAGTCAAGAGATCTCATGTTTTTAAGCTAGGCACATTTTATACGGGTGAAGTCAGTTACATTATAGAATTGCCTTTACTAATTAGTAATAAGAGCTTTTAAAAATAAAGATTCAGGGTGCCTGGGTGGCTCAGTCAGTTAAGTGACTGCCTTCAGCTCAGGTCATGATCCTGGAGTCCTGGGATCGAGTCCCTCATCGGGCTCCCAACTCCACGGGGAGTCTGCTTCTCCCTCTCACCTTTTCCTCGATCATGCTCTCTCTCACTGTCATTCTCTCTCAAATAAATAAATAAAATCTTTAAAAAAAGATATTAAAAAAAAATAAAATAAAGATTCACTTCCTGGTCCTTGGTTTTCCGTATGTCAAACTCAACCCTCAACTAAAATCACCTGTGGGTTTTAGGGGACTGTCTTCTGGCAGCACCTGCCTTACCTAGAATACACGTAGTGAGATCTCACTTTTCTTGTAATAAAAGTGTAAATGCTCACAGTGTATAACCTATATCTTATTTAAGGTGTAAGAGGGTAAAAACTGAAGGAAATGAAGAACAAGGGATAAATTTATTGAGTTATATTTAAATGTGTAGAGGTGAAAGTTCTCTCTTCAAATAAAAAAGAGAAACAAACTCCTTGCCCCAGCCTTGCTTCAGTGCACAACCTTCTTAGCCTCTAATTGCTCTGAACTGAGAGAGGGAGCACACAGACAACATTCCTGGTCCCTACAAGGTGCCTCTACTCCCCTAACCTGTAAAACCAGTTAGCGTCACCTCACTACTTAGGCTGTTACACTGCAGAAAGGGAAAAAGAAAATTTGAAAAAAGCAAGCAGGCAGGAGCTTCTGTGGGTCCTGCTGTCTCTTACTAATGGCTCTCCAGATCTGGCAGAAGACCAGGGTGAAACAGATGAAGGCCCAGTTCCACTCATGGTTCTTCCCAATGGTGGACACACCCATGAAGATGAAGATCAGGGTCTCACTGACGCTGCTCAGCATCTTCATGAAATACTTGATGGTGGTGTAGGACGTCTGGGACACATTTTCCTCTACATACTTCTTCATTGTTACTGCGCAGGCTGTGATTCTGCAGAAAGAAGACAGTCTAAGGAGAAGCCTGAGATTTCCCCCTCCCTGAAAAACTCCCTCCTGGTGATGTCATAGATACACACATCTTGATTTTAAACATTGTCTTCATTGCCCTTTCCCTTTCCCCACAGGTTTTCTTTATTTCCCTTCTCCCTCTGCAAAGAGTTTGCCCAAATTAGAGTGTTAGAGAAGGTGGGCATGGCATGGATTTCTCACAAGAAAATGGCATCAGGGGCTTTGGGGGGCTCGGTGGCTTAAGACTCTGCCTTCAGCTCAGATCATGATCTCAGGGTCCTGGGAACTAAGGGTCCCACATCGGACTCTCTGCTCAGTGGGGAGCCTGCTTCCCCCTCTTTCTCTGCCTGCCTCTCTGCCTGCTTGTGATTTCTCTCTCTGTCAAAAAAATAAATAAAATCTAAAAAAAAAAAAAAAAAAAGAAAATGGTATCAACCACTTGTGTACTGGGTGCACAAACCCAAAGCAGAAGTGTTTCTGGAAGGAATAATGAAGCAAGGTTCTCAATTCCCCCACCTGAGCAATGTTTCTTACAACAATTTAATGAGAAATTTTTTATTTAAAATGTTTTTACTCTAGGGTCACTAGCAAGTCGATGGGGAGGATGGTGGTGGGTGGTCACCTGAGGGCAGGGGAAGAGAAAAAAAATCTTTGCCTTGTCTAAGTAATTTATACCACTTTTAAGGTGGGACAATAATGAGTATCTAGATTTTGTACTATTATATTTAATTAAAATAGGTATTTCTATGCAATAAAATTAAATATTTCTGCCTGAGTAGCTGGGTATGAGGATAATGTCATAGAAAAAAAAAACAACATGACCAGATATAGCAAGCCAAGTTAAGAAACCTCATTCCAAGACCTATGGAAGGATAAATATTTACAAATAGTTTCATTAGGAAAAATTAATCTGAACTTCTGGTCTTATCCCATCTACCTAGTCTCATTCCAGTCTGGTGTGATGTGATTTAAGGGAAATAACAGAAGGCAGAGCTCAGGAATGACAGTCCTTCATGGTATGCTGCCCTTTACCTTCAAAATAACGAATTTTTCAAGGGGGAAAAAAAAAGCTATTGAAATGATACTTTAAGCTTGAACTTCTAGTTCTTCTCTGCATCAGAGCTTTTGAGTCTTTCAGATTGACCTCATAATTGTTCTGCTCTGCTAAGGTCATTCAGGAGAAGAGCAAATACAAAGGCTTGGGGGAAAGAACATTTGTTTGCCAAAGTCCCCGAATCAGATTTTACGGAAGTTTAAAAAACATAAATCCAGCAACACCTTTGCAGATTAGTGTCAAAAGTTCTGCCTTCTGCAAATGCTAGTCCACACCGTGCGGTCCTGCATTCTCTTTTATTGCTGTAAAAGTCGGTCCTTGGTTTGTACTCACGCCAGGATGCCGGAGAGGTAGAGTGTTTCCGCAGCTAAGTAAGACAGGTAGCTGAACATGAAGACGATGAGTGGTTCAATGGCAGAGATATTCTGAGTGAAACGCGTGATAAATGCAGAAATAAACCCAAAAATGATGCCGAAAAACACTCCTCCAACCCCCACAATAATGAATCGGGCACATCCGGCCAAAATGTCAACAGGTTCTATGTCTTCAAATTTATGCATCTTTGTGAAGGCAATTAATATATTGTATAAGACCTAGACAAAAAGAAAATGAAAGAAACATGAATTAGAAATGAGAATTACTTGACACACAGATTCTTAACTTCGTGTCCAGTTGAGTAATACATAAGTGAATTACAGGACCATAAATATTAATATGTCTTACACCTAACTTTAAAATCATTCTACATAATAATTTACTCTTATTCATTACAGTGGGTAAGAGTCTAATACAGCTGTCAGTCACTAAGCACCTACTCTGTGCCAGTCTCTTTGCGAAGCTCTCTGTTTCAGTTATCAACTAATTTAATTTCCTCCCAGCTCCAAATGCACCTTTCAATACGGGCTCTATAATAAACAACGGAATTCCCTCAGCAGAATTTTTCTCCTTCAAGGGAGCCGCATGTTACAGCTCTCTCAGCAGAGGGCGCTGAAGGGACATTGCTGGGAGAAGGGGTTTTCCAGCAACTTCCGGTGGGAGGGGCAAGAGTCAGTCAGGTGATTGGGAGGACTTCCTGTAGGTCCTTGGAGGGGCGGGCCACAGGCCTTGGAAGAAATTGGTCTGTAAGTTACGGCTTCCTCTGGGGATAACTTGTCCGTGGACCTCCTGACGTGGAAAAAAGAATCCCTGGCATAACCCTCGTGCAACATGTCTGTCGTCAGGGGCCTGGGCAGCCCACTCTGTGGAAACCTTCTCCTCTCCCCTGTCCACACAGCCTTCTCAGAAGGCCCTGTGCCCCCTCCTAAGCCCAGCCTCCCACTGCACACCAGGTTCCACCAACTACTGAGGCCCTCTCCCTGCCTGCCTCTCTGAGGGTGGCCTGCTCTTTGCCCAGCAACTCGAGGCCAGCTTCTCTCCTGCCCAGTGGTCCATCCACACCTCCAGGGAGATGGGAATCCCTTTCTAGTTTATGCTTTGGTAAACCTGGTACCCTATTCTAAGGGTACCTGGAAGAGTTCTCCTAGTTTACAGCTAGTCCTTTGTTATAGTTAATCATTTCGATATTAAAACTTCTCTGTTTAACCTACTGTGTAGTTTCTCTCTCTCAATTGGACCCGACCAACTATACTTTGCATGTATGTCATCTCACTGAATCCTTCAAACCACTGAAGCCCACCTGATACACACTCCCAATTTTCCTGCTATTTCTCTACTCAGTTCAACGTGTCTAAGAAATTAGAGTCGGGGGCACCTGGGTGACGCGGTTAAGCATCCAACTCTTGATTTTGGTTCAGGTCATGAGCTCAGGGTCCTGGGATGGAGCCACACTCATCAGGGAATCTGCTTGTCCCTCTACCTCTGCTCCTTCTCCCACTTGCACTCTCGTTCTCCCTCTCACTCTCAAATAAATAAATAAAATCTAAATGAATGAATGAATGAATGAATTACAGTAATCTAGGAATCGCTGCTGCATGTGCTTGGCAGCCCAGAATTTAGACTGAACTTCTGAAAAGTGGCAGCTGCCACACCATTAATGAGACACACAAATAAAGTGAGATCTCTGAGGAAATTGAAGACCTTTGAGAAGATCAGACCCTGAACAGCCCTGATAAACCACAAATATACATATTGGCCTTTCTTTGCCTATACTAGGAAAAATGGGGGGAAAAAAATCAGAGCAGGAGCAGAAGCTAACACTCAAGGAAATAAGGTCAATGATTATCTGCTGTACGTGGAACCACAGGAGTGGACAGACCCTCCGGTATGGTTAGGTCTCTATCCCATTCATTACCCTGGCTCTCACTCTGCTCTCACCTTACTTCTGGAATGATCCCCCACTCTGTGACCTGCAGGACTTGCCCAGGCTTGAGCCTCCTGTGTGACTCTGACTTCTCCATCCCCAATTTGTCTTTCCTTACTGAGACACTCCGTGTCACCTCTGTTCTTGAGGGTGCCCTGACAGCATTTGGATACTGGCCTTGGCTTCACCCATGGGGCTTACCAGAACTACTGGCAGCTTTGTATACACACTGACCCTTTGGCCATGGTCTTTCGTCTGCCATTCCTTCTCCATCCCTTATCCCAGTCCTGCCCTTTCCAGATCTGCTCTGTGAAGGGCCTCTGCTGATACCCCATGACATCACCTTTGATTAAAATTTGTTTTTCTGGGCGCCTGGGTGGCTCAGTGGGTTAAAGCCTCTGCCTTCAGCTCAGGTCATGATCTCAGAGTCCTGGCATCAAGCCCCACATCGGGCTCTCTGCTCAAGCAGGGAGCCTGCTTCCTCCTCTCTCTCTCTCTGCCTGCCTCTCTGCCTACTTGTGATCTCTGTCTGTCAAATAAATAAATAATAATCTTTTTAAAAAAATTTGTTTTTCTGACAGAGATGGTCAATGAAGAAGCCTAGGCTGGCTTCTGTTAGGTTCAAAAATCATAAACCATCAAGGTACATTTAAAGCAAAGCCCCACTTCATCTCATTTGCATTTATTTTCTAAGGAGTGCTTCATCTGTTTGAGTGAGGTTGTTCTCCAGTCGCAGAAATAGCACAAGCAGCTGGTCTGTGGCAATGTGTGTCTCTGTTCATGGGTGCCCTAGAGTTACTGTATAGACTGTTAACACACTTTGTTATCCATTTCTGTGTGGAGAGCAAAAATTTTATCCAGGGATGCCTGCATGGTGGTTAAGCATCTGCTTTCGGCTCAGGTCATGATCCCAGTGTCCTGGGATCAAACCCTGCATTGGGCTTCCTGCTCAGCAGGGAACCTGCTTCTCCCTCTGCCTGCTGCTCCCCCTGCTTGTGCCCTCTCTTTCACTCTCTCATTCTCTAACAAATAAATAAAATCTTTTTTTAAAAAAGGAAAGAAAATACATTTTTCAAAAAAAAAATCTTATCCAGGGTATATGTCAATTATAGCTCAATAAAGCTAGAATGAGAAAGAAAAAAAGTTAGGCAATATGGGATTTGCAACAGGTTTTAAATTTCGACTGGCCTATCTGAAAATGTTTTCAGCAGGATTGTTTAAAAGTTTGTGGCATGTAGACAGAACTCCCCAGAGTCCAGTTGTTAACATGATAATTTTTTTATACTTACTACTACTACTTTTATAAAAGTACTACTACTACTTTTATACTTACTACTACTTTTATACTTAAGTCTGTTTCTGGAGATGGGAGGTAAGGGGCTGGGGCAGGATGGGTTCTTAGGCCCATATCATGTCCTTCCCTGGGAGTCTATAGAAAACACAGTACTTTGTACTACATCTCTGTAGGATGAATTGGTGTTCTTTTTTCTTAAGAAGAATTTAAATATTCCATTCTTTCAAGTCTTATATATTTAGTTGATTACTATTACAAATATAGGCACTCCACAGAACATACACAACTTGCTTATACTGCAGCCAACACTTAAATACTGTTCTCTGTGCTGGCTGCCATTCCACGGCCCTCCCACACCCACCAGGGTGCACCTAATCTGGCCAAATGTAGAGCACTTCTTTCTTATAGTGATACTTCAGGTCTTTCTCCCTGCCGCCCTTTCTTGGAAATCTATTCTCTTCTTTCTTAATCTGGTTTGGATCCTTGCATGTCAAATTGGGAAACATTTTCATTGGGAAAATGTTCTTGTACTGTCTCTACTTTTCTCTACAGAACCTCTGGACTTGAGTTTCCTTTCTGAATCACAGACTTGTATATCACCTTCTTTAAGATAGGGTTTGGGGGCACCTGGTGGCTCAGTCAGTTAAGCATCCAACTCTTGATTTGGGCTCAGGTCATGATCTCAGGGTCGCAAGATCCAGCCCAAGTCAGGCTCCACACCCAGCCTGGTGCCCTCTCTCTCTTGCTCCCTCTACCTCTCCCTCTCACTGTACACATGTACTCTCTCTCAAAAAAGAAAGAAAGAAAGAAAGAAAGAAAGAAAGAAAGAAAGAAAGAAAGAAAGAAAGAGAAAAAAGATATTAGGGTTTTGCTACAAGATATTGCAAGAGTAGTGACTTTTCACATTTAGTCTTCGTACACTAACTTACAAAGAAGTAAATTAATAGAATAAATTCAATTCCAAAGAAAACAATAAATGGGGAAAAAACCCAGGAATGTTTCTGTTTTCTTGGGAATTTGTTAGTTAAAAGCTGAAAGTCATTTGTTGTGTTTGGGTTTCCCTAATAATGGGTCTTAAACTATGATGCTACCTCCGCATATAAGGGATTCTCATGCATTCACAATATGCCATTTTATAGCCTCCAATTTTGTTCCATCTAATTTTCCCTTAAAGATCCTTTTGGACCTTTTTTTGACTCTTTTATATTGCCATGATGTTTCGGAAATGACAATGTGTTGTGTGGTTTCCTGTTCCTGCATGGCCCTTGCAGCTGTGAGCACTTACCTTTAAATGGAAACTTCCATCCCTACATCCTCTAGCTTTGGGAACGACAATACCTTTAGTAAAGAGAATTTAAAAAAAAAAAAAAAAAGTCTTATCCAGAACAGAATGGCTTTTGTCTTTGGAATATGAGTTGGCGGAAAGTTTGGTCCTCAACGTCACTCGGTTGTCACCACTCCTCATGTAGGATGCTGTATCACTAATGGACTTTGCTGAATGGGGAGGGGAGACATGAGGAGGGTGTCCAGTGCACCTCCCCTCCCCAGTGCAGCTTTGTCACATTGCCCTCTGTATGAGTTTCCCAGAGCAGCTGTAACAGCACACCCTAAACTTGGACGGAAATTTGATTCTCTCTCACTGTCCTGGAGGCTAGAAGTCCAAAATCAAGGTGCTGAGAGGACCACACTCCATTGAAGTTTCTAGGAAAGGATAATTCTTTGCTTCTTTTTCATTTCTGGTGGTTGTTGGCAGGCCTTGGTGTTCCTTGACTTGTGGACATATGACTGTGGTCTCTGCCACTGTCCACATATGGACTTCTCTGTGTGTCCCCTCCTCTGTGTCTTCACATTGCCTTCTTACAAGGATACTAGTCCTTGGACTAGAACCCACCTTGCTCCAGTGTGAGTTCACCTTAACTAATTGTATCTGCAAAGAACTGTTTCCAAATAAGATCACATCTCATGTGATCTTGTTCTGGGTGGACACGGGTTCTTTTTTG